AGAGAGAGAGAGAGAGAGAGAGAGAGAGAGAGAGAGAGAGAGAGAGAAAGAGAGAGAGAGAGAGTCTTTTATCTAAAGAACATGGCAGAGCTAGTGAGATGGCTCTGTGGACAAAGGCACTCACTGTACAAGCCTCGTGACCTGGGTTTGAGCCCTGGGACTCATTTAAAAGTGGAAGGAGGTACTGACTCTATACAGTCATCCTCAGACCTCTACATGTGCCTATACGCACACACACACACACACACACACACACGTATGTACATATGCATACACACAAATAAGAAAAAATAAAGAACAGCAGATTTCCATGAACTGTCCCTGCAGATCACACGGGGCCCAGGAGCAACACTAGCAAGCTCCAGGGTCACTTTCTCACTTTGGATGGGGTGCACCTGTGATCTGGGCTAACTATTTCCTCTGAGCAGCCAGTATCTTAAATGTTGCCTGTGTTCTGACTCTACACTTCCCTCATTGAGAGCGCCACCCAGTGGCTCTGGCCTGGCCTTGCACCAGAATAACACCCTCCCCCCTTTCTAAGACCCCAGTCAGCCCAAGCACCGTGACCATGTCCTCTTCAGGCTCTCCACCCCGCCCCTCCAACTCCTGTCTCCTTTCCAGCCTGGTGGCTCCTCTGAACACGCTCACTTGTCCACGACACTCTTCCACACTTTTAACTTTAAACAGCATAAGTGCCCGCAATAATTAAGATTTTTTTTAAAAAAAAAAATTCTTTCTCTGTAGGCGTGACCACTGTGCGCTGGACAAACTTGATTATTTTTACTTCCTGATTTAAAGATCTTAAATTCAAAATACAGACTTAAAAAAAAAATCTCCTTTCACTGTTAAAGCCCAGGCAGCTGGTAGGCGGCATCAGTGCGGCTCACCGAGCACTCCTGACGGTGTGTGCTGGTTCACTGCATAGACGGATCTCTCACAACTCAATGCAAGAAGTTTGCGTGGGAAATGTGAAATAAAATGTGGGCTATCAATCTTTGCACACGTCCCTGCTTAAACACACACCCACACGTGCAGGTCCAGCCCTCTATATCCATGGGATTCATACCACAGATTCAACCACCTTCAGATTAAAAATAGTTAAAGAAATAAAATTCCATCTGTGCTGAAAATGTACAGATTTCTCTCCTCATTGTTATCCTCTAAAAACGGCAGAGAGAAGCAGCAACTTACACTGTATTCAGTATTGTAAGTAATCTAGAATGATTTCAAACACACAGAAGGGAAAGTGGGGAGGTAGCTCAGCAGTTACGAGCACTTGCTGCGGCTCAGAACCACACGTACCTCCAGCTCCAGGGAATCTGACGCCCTCTGCTGGATGAAACAAGCAGTTAACTCATACAGCATAAACACAAACACACACACAATCACATACACAAACACACACACATTATAAGTAAATCTTTTTTAAAAAATACACAGGAGGACTTCAGCTATAGTATACATACACACGGCCACTTTATATATGAGACATGAGTATCCAAATGAGACATGAGTATCCAAAAATGTTGGGATCCTTGAAATATTCTAGAACAAAATTCCTCAGATACTGAGATACTGAGAGCCAAACTGTGTGTGTCCATGTTCTTTCACTCCCTTTCATTAAGAATATACTCTGTAATATGATATAAAACCCAGATTCTGAACTTATCTGAAAGTGCCTTTAAAAAAACTCTCCAACTTTGGTGTTAGTCACAATGCCTGACAGACAAAAATTTACCTGATCCAAAAGCCAATCAACCCAAGGCTTACTCAGAGCCTCTCTAGTACTGCACATGAACAATACACACCCCTGCTGTGAGGAAAGAGAAATGGTAGCCCCAGTGAGAACTATGCAAATTAAGACACCACCCTGTCTCCAATTTTAAATGAGGGAAATTCGGACGTGGAGAAGGCGGAGAAGGTGTGCTCTGATAGCCAAGGTCCATCAAGATGACAGACGCCTTCCCTTGGCAAACACACTTCTGCCCATGCTGGGGTGGGGTGGGATGGGATCTCGCCCGTCACTGTTCTGATGGTCCCACAGGAGTGCATGAGTTCGAGAAGGTGCAGCTTGGCTCCTCCCCAGCTTCTGCTGGCCCACACAATTGCGTGCGAGCCATACGAGACTCCACTTGGTATGACTGACTTCTCATTTGGAGACAAGATTTTATCTGCTGTGGCTGTTTATTCTAGACCTAATAAAACAGAGTGTCCCTCCCACCCTCATAATTCCCTGAACACCTGGCATCTTCTAGACTGCTAAAGTAGATACACTTTTAATTTTATCTGTCATGTATAAATTTACTGAAAACAGCTACACTTTAAATATTAATGATTCATTCAAAAATTGTCATAGAGCTGGGGAGACCTCAGTTGGTCATGTGCTTTCTTACAAGTATGAGGATCAGAATTCAACCCCAGAACCTATGGAAAGGCTAGTATGGTGATACAGGCTAGGTATGGTGATACAGGCTAGGTGTGGTGATACAGGCTAGCTATGGTGATATAGGCTAGGTGTGGTGATACAGGCTATGGTGATACAGGCTAGCTATGGTGATACAGGCTAGTTATGGTGATACAGGCTAGCTATGGTGGTGCAGGTTATGTGTAGTGGTACGGGCTGGATGTGGTGGTACACACTTGCAACCCCAGCCCTGGGGAAGTGGAGACAGGAGGACGCCTGGGGCTTACTGGCCAGCCAGAATGGCCTAATTGGCAAGCTTCAGGCCAGTAAGAGACCTGTCTCCAGAAATAAGGGGAATGGTGCCTGAGACAAAACAGTAAAGTTGTCTCCTGATCTTCACACACATGCACACACACATGCAACATGCATGTACATGAGCACACGCATACACAGGCATACATAAAATGTACACATATTTTAAAGTAGTGATTATTGTAAGTAAAAGAGCTTTTCCTGTTTTCTTCTGTCAACCAAGCTTTTAATTCATTTGACTTTATTCTTCAAGTTAAAGAATTCGACCCTAGATATTCTTAGAACCCTTACTTATATATTCTTATAACAGTTTCTGTTATTTTCCTATCAGATTTTTCTATTCAACTTTTTTTCTGCTATTTTTTTAAAAATTAAGTAAGAAACACCCACAATACCAGTGTGGCCAGCTTTAACCACACAAAGATTTTCGTTTACCAAGTATCACAAGAAAGGGAGGCAGAGCAGGATAAGCCAAGGCAAAATCATTTCCTTTTCTTCTTAGAGAACTACATGTTCACTCTACCTGCTTTTCTTCTCATTTAGAAAACAGAGAGGATAAACCTCTGACTTTATCTAAACATCTAACTTTTCGTATGACACAGGAGAGAAAGGATGGAGGAGAAACAAGAATGAGGACACAGGGAGCAGAGCATCCTGAGAACAGAACAAAAGGAGCAGAACCACAGGAGGACACCCAGGAGCAGAGACAGGGCACAGCAGTGGTGCAGGAGATGAGGGTGGGTTCGGGAGATGCACAGAAACCTGAGCTGAGGTCAGCTCTGTCACTTTTGTCCCCTAAACTACAGGCCTCTCCTGTGGTGCCACCATCCTTGGAGAGTATATGCACTGTGAACTGCACTTGGCCAACACTTCAGTCTAGAGAAAAGCCTCCTTAGAAAGGAACAATCATTGGTCCACACAGCACACAAGGGGAGCTGTCCCTTTAGAGTGTGATGACAGTGGCCTGGGCAGTCACGTGTGAGCTGGAGGGGTATCTTTTCCCCGCCACAGGAAGCTGTCCTGGGTCCCAGGCTTCTGTGAGAGCTTACCTCCTCAACCATCTGCTTGACTTTCTTCTGCTGGCAATGCACCATGTCATCCAGGTGTCTGATCCGCTCGCGGAGGCTGGCTGATGCCTCCTCCAGCTGCTGGTACCTAAAGGAAAAAAGAAGCTCTGAGCCCTGACTCAGAATAGCCATGGAGACAGAGAACGCCACAGCACTGTAGAAGCATTGCAAGAACATTAACTCAAACTCAAGGGATCAGCTTAGAATCAATATCAGCCCAGAAAGAGCACAGACATCTTTCAGGTCCCCTCCTCAAGTTTCACTTTGTATAATGATACATCTGTACTTCCTGGGGGCAGAATGAGTTTTTTCTTCACTGATAGGCATGAAAGGATTTCTGCTTGGGGTTAATACAGACTGGGATATGCAATCACTGACCTTAATTAGGGGAGTCTAAGAACCCAGTAAAGCCCCTGAAACCAATGGTGGAGTCCAGGAAAGCCTGAAGCCAGTACTGCTGTGCCCATCACTTACTGAAGAAACAAGGCACACGTGGAAAGTCCTTCGCTGCATCACTGTCCTGCACCACAGAACATTTCTAAGCTTTTTCAGAGACATTATTCTGTCTTTGCTTGGCTCAAACCAACCAAAAGGAGCTGGCAGATGACTGTGTTCTGTGTGTCATGAGAGCAGAACCCTGGAAGGATGTTCAGGGTCTCCGCCCCATTTCCCAGCAACACCAGGTCCCTCATTAGCACCAAAGTAGAAACTAGGAAGGACCCCTGCAACTTTGGAAACTCTTGAGTTACAGGAGAAGGGTGAGTGAGCCGGTGCAGCAGCTAGAGGTGCTTGTAGCTAAGCCTGGTGATCTGAGTTTGATTCCCCACATGACCCATGTGACAAAGGAAAGAATTAATTCCTGAGAGTTGACTTCTGACCTCCACACCCATGTCATGGAACAACTGCAAAATATACACGCTCCTGCACAAAAAATAAATACATATAATTTTTTAAGTGAGGAAAACATTTTTTTTCCTCAGCACATACTATGCCACAGGCCAAAGTTCCCTCACAATGTGATAGCAGAGACACCTGATCCACATTCCTCACTGAGGAAAAGTTTCCATGCTACAGTTAGGCTGAGAGCCTCAGGGGTCAGGTAACTTGCCCGAGTGCTCTAATCATCCCAGCCTTGCTTTCCTTCCTCTCTGCCTTTTGATTTCTAGAAGAGACCACGTACGGCTCCTATATTTTCCATCCAGGGCTTCACCAAGGGCAATGCATGGCTTGAAAACAAACACCACTTCAAAGTTAATTGCCAGGACGAATGGTATCAGTCACAGCTGATGCGTTATCTCATTAACGAGGTGTATCCTGTCAGCTCAGGGATCGTGAGCACACAGAGACCGAACGTCTGCGTTTGTGGCCATCTTTGATGCGTCCCCCTGAACTAACAGCCAGCCTTGGACAGTGAGAAGTGACTGTAAGTTTCTGAAGGAACTGGACCCACACTGGGTGTTCTCAGCCAATGTCATACTTACATAGGTGGGTACTAAGTGAGGACCACATGAATCAAGTGAGCTAGCCAAAACAGGGCACATGGCGTTGAGGTGATGACTTGGTGAGTAGAAGAGGACTCATTGGGCTAGCATGAAGACCTGAGTTCAAATCCCCAGTACTCATGTAAAACGTTAAGCATAGCTGTGGGATAGAGTGTCAGAGGAGGGGAGACAGAAGGATGAGCAGGGCTTGATGGCTTCTAGCCTATCTCCAGATTCACAGAGATACCCGAGATCAAGAGAATAAGGTAGAAAATGGTAGGAACAGGACACCAGACATCTTCCTCTGGCTTCTGAATGCATGAACACACACACACACAGAACACACACAGACACACACAACACCAATGTGTGTGTCCACCGCCTCACCTGTTCTTGTCAGAATCTGCAATCTCCCCTGACATTTCTGTTTCATGTTCAAGGAGCTGCAGCTGGAGCTGATGCCGTTCCTAAAACAGACATGATGAAATGGAGCCAGACAGAAGCTGAACCCCAGACACACCCAGCTCTAATGTGTCCGAATCTGCACATCACTCCCTGGATGTCACACAGCTACTAGCCCAGTGCTCAAAACTCAAAGGGGCCAATGCAAAAACATACTTACGGATTAGACAAAACACTCCAATCAAATCACATGAGTACCAGCCCAGGCTCACATGTCTTTTAGAAAAAATATATATGTATAAGTATACACACACACACACACACACACACACACACACACACACACACACACACATATATATATATATATATATATATATATATATATTTGAGACAGGGTCTCTCTGTGTAACCCTAGCTGTCCTGAAACTCACTCTGTAGACCAGGCTGGCCTCATACTCAGAGATCTGCCTGCCTCTGCCTTCTGAGTTTCTGGGTGCTGGGATTAAAGGTGTGCGCCACCACTACCCAGCTTGAAAATTTATATTTCTAACTAATGATAATCCATGTCATAAATCAGTGGCCAGTGGCATTGTACAATTTTTGATTGTTTTTAAAATCTTCCATCAAACAGGCTCTGAAATTCTAGCAATGTCCTCTGGACCAATCCAGTCATGTTTACACAGGGGTAGTCACAAATAAAACACATATTATAACCATTATGGCCAGAACAATGGTCCCTCCCCCCACACAAAGATGCTCAGGGTTAATCCCTTATAAACACATCATCTCACACAGAAAGGGAACTTTGCCAGCATGGTTAATGATCTGGAGAGTCTCATGGGTAGAGTGGAGCTCTTACTAGGGGAGGCAGCAGAGTTAAAATCAGGGGGCTAGGAAGATGTTCCATGGCTGACTCTGATGCCAAGGCATAGGCGCAAGTCAAGTAGTACAGATAGTGCCCAGGAGTCAGAAAGGGCAAGGAAATCGACTTTGTCTTAGAACATCCAAACACCTGCCAACATTGTCATTCTGGGACGTCTCACCTCCAGAACAGAAGCTGACTTTTTGGCAATTTATTTCAGCGGCAAAAGAAACACAGGTGCGTCAAGCTATGTACTTCATGCACTTTGCTGAATACATAGACACACACGTGTAAGCTTCATACACGTGTTTACCCCAAACAGTAAGAATATTTACAATCACTTCTTTGAAAAGAAAAAGCAGGAAAATGTTCATAAAAGTACACTGGCTGTCATCATTGGGATGATAGTAGACAGATATTATAGATATTAATATAGCCAGGTTCCTTAAAGCACATTTGCCGGCTAAGGGCGGGGTATTGCTTTGAGCGCTCATCTGAGAAGGCTGTGCCTCACTTCTACTCACAGCAATTCCTACCCAAACAATTGTACAAGTTACATGGGCTCCAAACTAAATGGTGAGACTCTGTTTGTGGCGTGGGGGTGGGGACACAGACATGAGTGGGAGTGGGAAAGGAACCTGTAACCGTAACGGGATGTCAGAGGTGTGAAGGTCTGGTTGGCAAGCCAGTAAGGAGAAGCCAGAGACCCATCCTCAGATCTATCTGAAGCCGAGACAGGGCCTTGCTACATCATCAGGTTGGGGGTTCCAGCTTGCAGAGTCTGGCACTTGGTGCTAATGACATTATGTCCATGATGGGTCAGTGCTATCAGCTTCCAGAAACTAGACCCAGCTTTGGCCCTCAACTCCAGAAGTCAGCTGTCAGTGGCTCAATGTCACCATGCTGTCTCCTCCTCTCCTTCCTTCCTGTCTTTTCTCTGCTACTTCCTGCCTCATTTCTGCAGCCCAGCCCAAGACAAGTTTGTCAACGCTGTAAGACCCCACTTGTTGTCAGCCTGTTTGCCACACACAGATGAGTTTACTTCCCCATCTCATTCAGGTCCCAGGCGTGTCATGGAAAAGTCAACCTGTCCCAGACACATGCCCCAGAAACAAGAGGGGCGGGGTGCTGATGGAGCCTTCAAATACATTGCCTCATCAGGTTAAATGACAAGTGTGTCTTGAGATCCCACACAGCTAGTTGCTGCAATATTAATCTGTACAAAGAATTTTACAGGTGACTTTTTAAAAATGTATCAAAATAATTTTTGATGGGCTGGGCTGGGGTTTGCCTAATGCACACACAAGGCCATGGGTTCGATTGCCAACACTACAGAAACAAACAACAATAAGAATAGTTACCAGAGAGGAAGACAAGAAAGGTGTTCAACTCCCTTCTGTGTTAATTAGTCTGTATTGCATTGAAAACTGGGGGCTGAGAGGAGTTAGTACTGAGGCTTCTGACTCTAGGTCTTGAAGGAGCTGTGGGGTCAGGGGAACTGGGCAGCGGGGGCAGCAGGCCCAGGGGGACTGGGCAGCGGGGGCAGCAGGCCCAGGCTGCATCAGTTACCTTCTCCATTCGCTCAATCAACCTGTCCAGCTCCCCGATCCTCTGGTCTTTCTCCTCCAGGCTGAGCTCAGCTGCCTCCATCTTTTTATTGGCCTCTTCGATCGCTTTCAAAAAGCTATTGGTTTCCTCCTGCAATAGGCACACACTCTTCTCAGCAAGGCCTCAACACCCAGGTGACTCACCTACGTCCAAACAGTGCCTCACTGGGTCATCATCTCCCTATGAAAGCATGACCCTGGGGCCCATGTTTTTCACAGGGAGTAAACTCAACTGTTAAGAGTCTGGTTTCACCTCTGAACAAAGCACATCGTGTAGCTATTCTCCTTTAACTTTATTTAAGATTTTATATTTATTTTATTTTGTGTATGGGGGGGTACAGGTTTCAGGGTACCTGTGTGGAGGTCAGAAGTGTGGAGAGGATAGCCTTCAGTGCTCTCTCCTTCCACCATGTGGGCGTCAGGATGAGCTCAGCTTATCACCTTGGCAGTGGGCATCTTTACTTGTTGAGTACTCTCATTGGCCCCTCATGTGGCTTTTCAATGGGCCCAGTAACTAACTCTCTAAAAGCTTATGTTCCAAAGGTATGAAAAAGGAAACAAAACAAAATAGTCTGTGAAGGCTTAAATAATATTGTACAAATGCTCAGAGTGTCGCTGTGTGGGCCAACATACTACTGAAGCAGAATGAGGAAATCCCAGATCTTCCTCCCACCACGCAATGTGCCTTACTTGGAAGGAAAAACCCAAACATCTGGTGCACTGATTAACCCTCCAAGGACACAGATAAACCAGACACAGAGGGACTCCTTCAAAGACGGTGAGCCCTCCAAGAGAGGCTAAGATGTGAATCTGTCTCTAGTCAGAGGAACAGTCCAATCCCACAACTGTGGTAATGGCAGACCTCAGGAGGGAGGCAGTGGAGCTTTCAAGGGTGGGGGCAATGGTCTAATCCAGGATGGGGGCATGAGAGGAACAAACAAAGTAAACCCACAAACCCAGGATCTACTTGGATGTGGGTTAATAGTACTATTAACTGGGAAAAAAATGTGTATTTCGAGACAGAGAGACAGCGGAGATTTTACTCCAGGAGGAGGAAAAATGGGGGTGAATGAACAATCAAATAAATCCCCTGGGCCGGGGTATTAACTCAGTGGGTGAAGAGCCTGGTGTGCAAACATGAGGAACTGAGTTCAGATTCCTAGTATAAAGTAAAAGCTGGGCATAGTGCATGCCTGTGACCCCAGCACGGTGGAGGCTAACACAGGGCCACAGGGGTGGGTATTCTGGAAAATTGCTGGCCAGCGGCCAGAACTAAATGGCAAGCTCCAAGCTTGGGTCAAATGGCAGAGGCACACTACCAGGGTCAATCTGTCGCCTCTACAAGTGCACACATGAGCAAGAACACCTGTATACACAGTGCACACATGCCTAGAACACACACATGAAATAGACAGTGAATGGGTGAATGAATGAATGAATAAATCCCCTGACTCCTCTCCACATCCAACCTCATGACTCCCTTTGAGGACACATCTTTTCTGTTAAACCTGCCAGCCACATCCCACGTATTCTGTTCAGAGTGGTACACACGCACCAGGAGCACCTCCTTCTCGGCGCTGTGCTTGCGTTGCGCCTCCTGCAGCTTCTCCTCATACTGGCTGTACAGCTTCCTCGTCATCTCCCGCATCACCTCAGCGTTGGCTTCTTGAGACGACTCCACCTGCAAAGAGTCTCACTGTAGAGCTGCAGCCTGGACCTTGTCCCTCTCGCATCTCTACACACAGAGGTCAGAACATGACTCCTAGGGGTCTGTAGTTGACCGGAGCAGGCGGGAGGGCAGGGAGAGAGAGAGCAGCGCACAGCACACACCAGAGCAAGATGGCGCTGTACGCTGAGCTATTTAGGGTGACGGGGACAAAGTGTTTCAGAGAACAAATCTTTCCGGAGGTCACTTTTTGGGGCTGGGGAGATGGGCTAAGTAAAGTTTTTCTAGAACCCAAGCAGAGAGAGAGAGAGAGAGAGAGAGAGAGAGAAAGAGAGAGAGAGAGAGAGAAGCAGCCAGGCATGGTGGCTTACACAGACAGACCATTCCTGGGGCTCACTGACCAGCTAGCTATAAACAGCAAGCCTCAGGTCCCAGTGAGCGACTGTGTCTTGAAAGAGAAGATGGACAGCTCCTGTGCACTTACACTTGAAGTTAACCTCTGACCTACACCCAGACAGACAGACATGTGCATCCACACACATGCACATATGTACACATGCATGCACAAATTATTTTAAAGATAGCTTGTCTCATCAATCCCATTCATTGCACTGACCAGCCCATCTCTAAGTCAGGCCTCTTGAAGGACAAATGAGAAATCCGCATTCATCTTTCCCACACCGCGTGCTTTCTGAGCTGTTGTCTTTGGGGCAATCTTTGGGGCCACGGGGCTGGGAGCCTTGAGTGGCTAGTCAGGGCAGGCACGGCTGCAGAGAGTCTTTGGAGCTGGGGTGGCTGCGGTGGGACTCCAGGAATGGTGTCTCCTTTCTGGTCTTCAGTAAAGCTCTCATACCACTGACCCAAGGCCGCTGTGGGTGTGCCCTTGGCCCTCCTATCAGGCTTCAGCTCGTCCAAGATGCCTGAGCACATGAGCACCTCACCTCTGGGAAAGGGCGGTGTCCTTTGGCCTTAATAACTTGCCTAGTGTTTACTCCAAAGCCGTGACAAGTCCCTCTTGACGCCCTTGAATGCTCATCTCTGGGAAAGTGTCAGCACTGAGAAGCCACAGGATGGAAATTCACGAGCAAAAGTTATTAGCTTAGAATGCAGGTCCAACCCCACACTCCTTTCTACTGCACAAGTGCCATGGAAAAGGGCTCTGCCTGAGACCTGTTCAAGCTGCATTCCAGTCACGTGAGGCACCTGGAGTCCCTGCAACCTCTTTCATTCTAAGTTTGAAGGATAAAGCAAAAAGGAAGAGTGGAGAAAAACCTTTAGAGCTCCAGTGGTCAGGACCAAATTCAGCATCGGTCTCTAAAACAGGTCACTGTAGGCTGGGCACAAGGGATCCAGACAGTCAGGCTACCTAGCCATGCCTGGTGACCTACACCCCAGAGCAGACAGCAAGAGAGTGGACAGACCCAAACAGTGGGTGCTCAGTAAGTGCTTGTGGGCTGAACAGGCACAGAAAGGTTCCATTCAGGAACTTCTGACTTCCTTCACAACAATCTTTTTTAATTTTCAAAGTAACACCTAGAGAGAAATAGAATGTATAAAACTGTCAAACAGAAAGACTGGCCTGGGGCTGGAGAGAGGGTTCAGCAGTTAAGAGCACTCTCTGGTCTTCCAGAGGATTCGAGTTCCCTTCTCGGCTCCCACATCAGATGACTCACAATCGCCTGTAACTCCAGCTCTGGAGGATCTGTGGGCACTGAACTCAGGTATACAAACCCACACTCAGATACATACATAGATACATAATTAAAAAACAAAACAAAACGAAAGAGTTGCTTTATTTGAAGGGAAAGCAAAGAGGGGCTGAGGTATCCTGCCCAAGCCTGACCCCAGAGGCGAAGGACAGAGTCTGCAGTGCAGCATGGCGGATGCAGGGAAGGATGCACTGCCAGACGGTTTTCCTAACTGAGTTATCAGCAGCTCCACCCTTCACTAGCACACGCTGGCTTAGGCAATAAGTTATACACGATCCACAGAACAGCTTAAGGCTGCACAGAACACAACTTGAAAACCACAGTATTGGAGGAAGGACTTGTGAGCCCACACCCTTTCTTGACACTGTAGGCTAAGAAAGGCATGCCTCCAATATTTGTGCAGCACCCCAACTCTAGGCAACACCCCAAGGAGACAGACACCTCCTTGCCACCTTCAGACCATGGCTGTGGGTAAGGAAGCCTAATGAGAAAGAGAATGGAGAAACGGAGATGAAAAATCAAAGAGAGGAGCGAGAGGTCAGTGGGAACAAGGCCAGTTGCTGTACCTTCATTTTCAGCAGCTGGTTTTCCATTTGTGCAGCCTCTAACTGCCTCTGCTTCTCCCGCAGCTTGTCCATGGACGCTTCATAGGTCTGCTGCAGATTTCTGATTTGATCCTTGATGTTGCTGTTTTCCAAGGTCACATCCACAAGGGTTTTCTATTTAGGTGAAAATTAAAAGCCCAGATCGAGTGGTATGAGAACCCACAGGCATGTCATCCCACTCTTGGTTATGCTGCAGCAGCTTCCAGGTGGGGGACCAGGGGTCCCCACAGTGGCTGAGGCCTATCCCACTGCGGTTTAGTGGACCACAGCCTTCTCGACCATCCCCAACAGCTGTGGGTCATTAGTTTGCCACTGCTTAGGATGGGAAGGTGGATTAGTTGGCTCATAACAGTATCATTTCACATGGGGGGAGCATGTGTAAAGTAATAAACACAGGCCAATCCCACTCATAAATCCAAACCCATGATACCTTTTACTACATAACAGAACTGAAAATTATTTCTATTTTGTTGTTTCCCTGTCTTTTCTATATTTCCACGATAAAATAAACAAAACCAAAGTGTTTTATAGACTAGAGATAAAGTCAACAACTCTGCCTGACAAGTGTCAAGAGCCTGTTAAGAGGGCTGTAGATGTGATTCAGATGATCGTGTGCTGGTAAGTCAGCTCGACACAAGCCAGGGTCATCTACGAAAAGGGAATCTTGATTGAGAAAATGTCTCCTTCAGACTGGCTTGTGGGCAAGCCTGTGGTATATTTTCTTGACTGTGAGGATGCACAGCGCACTGTGGGCTATGCTGCCCCTGGGCAGGAGGTTCTGGATTACGTAAGGAAACAGGCGGAGCAACCAGTAAGCAGAGCTCCTCGACAGTCTCTGCTTCAGCTCCTGCCTCAAGGTCTGAATAAACCCTTCCCTCCCCAAGTTGCTTTTGGTCAGGATGTTTTATCAAGGCGATAGAAAGCAAACTAGGGAATCCAGCAAGCATGCAGTCCAGGGTCCACTCCCAGCACTGCATACATGATGTGTGGTGGCTTAGGCCTGTAATCATAGCACTTAACAAGTAGAATCAGGAAGGTCAAATTCAAGGTCATCCTGGGCTACATAGTGAGTTTGAAGCCAGCCTGAGCTACATGATTCCATGTCTCAGAGGAAAAATGCTGTTGACTGTCTGCTGCTCCAGGACACTTGTGTGGTCAGAACTTATTAAACTAATAATGCTGCTGTTTGTTGCTTCTGTTTCTATTTAATAAGAGAGAAATGATTCCCATAATCCTGTACACTCCACCATTGGACACAGGGTGTGGGCTTTATCTGCAACTTCGGGATGCAAGACTCAGAACCTGGTGCAGATGGTGCTGTGAACTAAGCTTTTGGCTTGCTGTGAAGATGTGTCTTTGCCAAGCTACCTTCTGATTGGTTTAATAAAAGAGCTGACTGGCCAATAACTAGGCAGTTTGAGATTAGGCAGGACTTGTGGTGTGTGTCGGGGGAGATGGTGGGGAAGGAAGGAAGTCACCAGACAGATGCAGAGGAAGCAGGAGATGAACATTCCATGATGAAAAACAGCTACTTCCACGTGGCAGAATGTAGATAAGAAATATGAGATAATTTAAGTTGTAAAACCTAGTTAGTAACAAGCCTAAGCTATTGGCTGAGCATTTATAATTGATAAGTGTCTGTGTGGTTATTTGGGATCTGACTGGTGAGACAGAGCTGACTAGTAGAACAGAGGAAGTCTGCCTTCAAGATGGCAGGCCCATCTCCTGTGTCCTCTGATGGATGGCTGGTCTCTGAAGATTCTCCACCACTCCTTGTTGGACAGCAACATACCTAAGCCCACTTGAACCACTTTAGAAACTGTCACTAGAGGCGAAAAGTTATCAAAGGAAACACTGAATCCATTGGAAGATTCCAGGGCTGCAGAAGACGTCTAGTCTAATGTGCAAGTCCTTCTGGGAGAAAATAGATGCACAAACACTTAGCCTTGACCAGCCACCAGATTTGTCTAGTGCCATCTCTGCCACTAACTAGACACTCTGCTGGCCTCAGTGTATCCACAGGAGTCAGAGTTTGGAGCCCACCTCTACAGTCTGCCCAGCTCTGCCTTTCTAAGAGCTGAATCCGTAGAAGGGACAAGTGGAGGAGGCTGGGATCTTGCATAAGTTTGCACAAGTAAGAAGCCAGTGACCTTCAGATATGACTGATGGGTGTAACCTTCTAATTGCATGGCTCTGTTGGCAGCCAAGGATTAAGAGACTAAGGGTCCTTGGGTTAGAGATAACCTTGTTCTAATAAGTGACCAATGAGGTAAATGCCTAGATTGTCAACTAAACAGTGCATGAGAAGAATTTGCCTAGAAATATATTGTTTTTCTGGGGGGAAAACCCCAGAGACAGTGCAGATAGAAGCAGGCCTAAGCTCAGGTGGGGCAAGGTCCTCTCTGGTAGGCTGGGGAGTGAAACTGTTTCCGAAAGGGAAAGAAAGAGGGCCTTGGCAATCCCCCTTCAAGATAGGAGGAAGGGAACAAAGGGCTCCTGAGTAAATCAGGGGCTTGGCCTGAGGCCAGGTGGAAGCTGGCATACACAAAAGAGAGCCAGGAAAAGCCTGGGACTGCAGCCCAACCAGAAATGGGCATCCCAGACAAACCCAAACACAGCCCTGCTCCACCCATTGCTGGAAGCTGGCCGAGCTTTGTTGCCGCTGGGGCTCTATCAGCTAAGGCTGGTGAGTACTAAGATCTGTGGGAAATGAAGGAGCCCAGTACGGTGGTCTGTTTGCTTATCCACAAAACTATTTACACAGTACCAGAAAGGACTGGAAATAAGTGGGTGACCATTTAAGAGGACAAAAACGATAAGCCAAATAAACTCAGGGGATGACAGAAATGATTGTGTATTTGGAAAGCAAGACCAAGGGCTTGCTCTGAACATCTTCAAATGAACTTGCATGCTAGGCATAGTTAGGTCAAAGCCAATCTCTGGTAATAGGTCTTAATTAAGAACGTCTGTCTTTTAAGGATGTCTTCATTCTCTGGAACACACGTGACTCTTTCCAACATAAAATCATTCCTAAGTCAAGAAAGAGTGCTTCCTGTGAGAGCTACTTCCCACGAGAAGTTGCATTTGGTCTTTGGATAAATATGTCTTTTCTGTAACCAAGTGGACTTCTTGAAGCATTCAAGCTAGATGAGAAGGTAGTTGATGTGTTGTGTAAATACAAACAGAGAACCATTTAGGTACCTACAGAGCAAGAGACAACTCCATCCCAGAGCTGAGCCTAAAACCCCATTGACACAGCACCTGACAGAGCCTCGGCATTTCTGCTGGAAGAATTTTCTCCGACTTCCTCCCCACCTTACAGAAACTGTGTTTATCACGCCTGTGACTAAAGGACCATGACCGACCATGGGACAGTCTGTGACTTCTCTACACATAGGCCCCACTCCTGTTTAAGCTCACTGTCCTCTAAAGAGAAGGTTCCCAGCCAAGGGGAAGCAGAGGGATACCTGCAGGCCAACAGAGTCCAGCGCCAATGCCGAGTTCATGGCATTGAAGTTATCCAGGGCTGATGACTGTGCTTGGATGTGACTGTCTAGGTAGTCCTGCTGAGCGTGGGAAACCTGGGAAGAGGAAGACAGTCACTTAAGATCAGCCCAAACCCCACAGACTACAGACAGGGGACAAGTTTCTAAAAGCAGCTTTACCTGCTTCAGTAATATTTACGGTAAAACTACAGATTACAAACCAACATCCGGGGCCAGAGAGCTATTTCAGTTGATAAAGAGCTGGCCAGGAAAGAGAGAACACACTTCCTTTCACTTGGTGTGTATTTTTTAACTGTTACAAATGATGCTTTAAAAAAATAGTTCATCTACACATCATGTTATATGTGGGGGAACTTATCTGTAGAATTAATTCTTAAAGATGGAATTTGAGGACTGGGACTGTGGCTTGGTTGGTAGAGCAGGCACAATGATGGGGTTTGATCTCATCACCCCGTAAACCAGGCATGGTGGTGCACACCTACAATCCCTTCACTGGGGAGGTGGAAACAGAATGAGTTCAAGTTCATGCGAGGTTGAAACCACCCTGGACTACATAAGGCTTCATCTTTCAAAAAAGTAAAGTAGGCCATTAACTAGAATTGATCTGGGTAGGGACTGGAGAGATGGCTCAGCAGTTAAGAGTGTATACCGCTCCTGTAATGCAGCTAAAAGGAAGATTATTAGACATTCTCCTTTGAAGAATAAAGTTCAATCTACGACTCAAGAAAATGTCCTCTCAGTTAGTTTAAGTATAACTTCTCCATTCCTAAGGAACATGCACTATTTAAGCATCTCCAGGCCACTGGGCACCGGTGCCAAGCCCTGCCATCCTCTTACCGCCACAGTGCTGCCGAGGCCCGGACTTACCGACAGGTCCTGGGTGAGCTGGCGTATCTTCTGCTTCATCTCGTCATAGTTACCGAACATCCGCTTCCTCACTTTCTCCAAAGTGGCCCTCACCTGCAGTCACAAGACCACCAGGGAGACATCAAGTAACAATAGTTTCATAAAAGATACTGGAGACTTTCTTAATAAGAGAAAGACCCACAAAAAAAATTTAAGAATAAGACCTGCAGCAAATTAAGTGCAAGAACACTTTCAACATCTAGTTAGAAACCGTGGAAATGATCCAGATGATAATGTGTATACCAATGAGGAAAAGGACTAATAAACACTAAGTTATCCAGATAATGTGTATATCAATGAGGAAAAGGACTCATAAACATTAAGTTATCTGAGCAATAAACTGATGAACAACCACTGTGTTAAAACTCAGCCATCACCCTCAAACACTGTTTGAACCAAGTTTGCCCCTTTCAATCCCATGTTTTTACAAGTAGGAAGTTTTTAACTAATCAGCTGTAAACACATGGCTGCAAGGATGAAAACACTCCAAAGCAAGCAGCAACCTCTCATTTTCTCTCTCTGTGTTCCAAATGCCAAAAAGCAATTAAATGTCTAGAATGCAAGGTGGAAAAACATGAGGCCTGAAGGGGCCAGAAATTCAGATGTCAGTTTCTCAGTAATTATCAACAGAACACACACGGGGTAACAGAGAGGAAAGTGGTCCCCACCCCGCACTCATACAAACACTATGCAAGTCTGGACTGGGGTGGCTACCAGAGGAGTGTTAAGTGGGAAGCTGATACACAACCCTGTTTCCCCATCCTATGGTGTCTTTAGATGTTTGGTAACGTTCTTGGACTCCAGGCTGTCTACCTTACAAATGGCTGAAGGAAGCCTTTTTGTTTCAGTGCAAATGTTTAAGAACAGTACTGGAAGACTTGATACTGAAGGTATATTTGTGTAAGAAACACCTTGTTTTACTTTGAAGGTTTTGTTTTCTCTTTCTTGTACTAGGAATTTGAACTCAAGGCCTCGAGCATGCTAGGCAAGAACTCTTAACACTGAGCTACATTTTCGTTTAGAATGGATATTGATGGAAAGTTAGAAGAGGAGCTAAGACCTCAAGCATTCTCTAAATGAGTTTCTTTTTTAAATATTTAGTTTATTTTTTAAGTATGTGTGTGTGTGTGTGTGTGTGTGAGAGAGAGAGAGAGAGAGAGAGAGAGAGAGAGAGAGAGAGAGAGAGTCAGTCCGTGCTGGTGCCAGAGGAAGCCAGAAGGTGTAGGTCTCCTAGAACTAGAGTTACAGACACTTGTGAGCTGCCTGACATGGGTAGGTTCTGGGAATCAAATCTGGATCCTCAGCAGTAGGAACTCTTAACCCCTAAGCCATATCTCCAGACCCTACACAGTGGAGTTTTAATAGTCTACTTTCTTGCCATTGGCCACAAACAACTAGAAAATTGTGGCTCAAAACATGACCCTCATTCTTGGGGGTCAATAACTGATGTGGGATATTCTTCTGTGTATGTGTTGCTTTTATTGGTCAATGAATAAAACTGTTTGGGCCAATGGCTTAGCAGAGTAAAGCCAGGTGGAAAATCAGAACAGAGAGAGAGAGTAGGCAGAGTCAGTGAGATGCCATGTATCTGATGAAAGGCGTCAGATACCGGAACCTTACCGGTAGGTCACAGCATCATGGTGATACATGAATTAATACAATAATAGAAATAGGTTAATCTAAGATGTAAGAGTTAGCCAATAAGAAGCCTGAGCTAATAAACCAAACAGTGTTGTAATTAATATAGTTTTTGTATGATTATTCAGGTCTGGGCAGTCAGAAACAAATGAGCAGTCTCCATTTACAAATAACTCCATCACCATAGCTGGAGGTGAATGGGCAGAATCTTGAGCTGGGTGTTGCTCCCACTGAACAGTGTAGGAAGCCAATAAGGCCAGGGTGTCTCCCATCAGGAGCAACAAACTCAAACACACTGAGGAATGAGGAGGCTGGGATGGACCTAAAACCAGTCATTGAAGGTGGGACCTAGAAATTAACTTTGTATTGCAGATCACAGTGGAGCGTGGGAATTTTGGGTCAGAACCAGCTCTGTGATTTCAGCATATGTCATTTATAGCTGAAGATTAGCCTGGACCTGCTGTATTTGTCTTCAACAATCTGGGAGCCTGGATTCTACTTAGAAGTTTTACCTCTAAAGCAATCCCAAGCCCTAAGGAGCATATAGATGAAGATAGTTCCTTGAGAAAGTCTGCATTGTTTAAAAGCAGTCTGGGTGCTGGAGAGATGGCTCAGCAGGTAAGAGCACTGGCTACCCTTCCAGAGGACCTGAGTTTATTTCCACATCATAGCTCACCCCTGTCTATAACACCAGTTCCAGGGCTTCTGACACCCTCCCACAGATATAAATGCAGGCAAAACACCAATGCACATAAAATAAAAATAAGTTATATTTAAAAATAACAATCTGGAATCCAACATTCTGCATGATTAAAGAAATAATCTTTGGGAGGTCGGATAACTGAGTGTTCAAGACTGGTGGTTGTGATACACTCTGTGTGTGTGTGTGTGTGTGTGTGTGTGTGTGTGTGTTTATGTGCACATGCATATATATGTATGTGTTTTTGTGCCTGTTCTTGTGAGTGATGCATGTATGTGTATGGGTGTGTATACATATGTATGTGTACACGTGTATGAAGGCCAGAAGTTAACATTAGGTATCTTCCTTGGTCATTCTCCACCTTATTTTTATTTCAGTAGGGTCTCTCACTGAACTTGGAGCTCATCTATTCAGCTACATGGGCTGGACAGTGAGCTCCAGTGATCATCCCGTGTCTACCCCACCAGTGCCAGAGTTACAAATGCCACCAACCACACACTTTTTCATGGATCCTAGGGGGCTGAAGTCTCAGGTCCTCAGGCGTGTGCAATAGGCACTTTATGGACTGTATCATCTCCCAGCCCATGAATTTGTTATAAAAAACAAAACAACTCATACAATATCTAAGACAATGTGACTTTGCACATCATCTGTCCCAAATCAAATGAAACTCACAAAGCTGGAGGTTTTGACCTCAGGGATGAGAGCCACCTATAGATGCACAAACAGAGGCCTAGAGAGGAACCTGGATCTGAAACAGAAGCAATGAGCTCACAGGCCTGGAAACTTCTCCAGCCCTGTGTAGACATTTGCTCCTCTGGCACTGAGCTATGGGTCCATGTTTGGAGCCCATGGGCATCAGAGCAGTTCATTTCTTCCCTCCTCTAACAAATCTGGTTTGAGCTTAACAGTATCAATCAGACTCGTGTGGACAGAGGAGACACTGGGTAACACAAAAAGAAACAGTCAGGTAGTCATCAAAGTATTCGAAGAAAATGATCCAAAATGTCAACATCCAGGACAGGCTGAATGGTGACACGATGGCCAATTGTTTTCTTCTTCATATACTTCTCCCAAACTTTCTCAAATTAAAAGACACAAGACAATACATTGATGTGGGATTACCCTCTGTATGCTGTGACTATCATTGGTTAATAAAGAAACTGTCTTGGGCCTGCACAGAACAGAACAGAGATAGAGCAGAATAGAGGTAGGTAGGGAAAACTAAACTGAATGCTGGGAGAAGAAAGTAGAGTCAGAGAGAAGCCATGGAGTCGCTGCTGGAGACAGATGTGCCGAAATCTTGCTGGTAAGTGAGCCTTGTGGTAAAATATAAATAATGGAGATGGGTTAATACTAGATGTAAGAGCTAGATAGCAATATGCTTAAGTAATTAGCCAAGAAGTGATTTAATTAATACAGTTTCTGTGTGATAATATTGGGAGTCTGGGCAGTTGGGAAGTGAACAAGAGGCCTCTTTACTACAATACATTAAATACAAATAAATTTCAGTGATTCACATAGACTGTACTTTGTCTATTGTAGTTGACTTTCCAACATTCACTTCAACTCAAATCATTGGTGTGAACCTTCCAAGTCTGCCTATGCTCCCTGTCAGTGATTGGTGTAGGAGGGGTATGTGACCAATCCTGGTCAAGAAGCCATGTAAAGCGAAGTCTAATGGGAGCAGGGCAACTTCAAAAAATTTCCAGATGTGGGAAATATATATATATATACATACACATATATATATATATATATGACAATATTGAGGCTAAAGAAAGAAAACATACAAAGAAATACAAAAAAACTAGACCCAGAGTCCATTTGTGCCCTGTCCAGAACCCCCCACCTCTATACTTCATCTTCAGAGAAGCTGCATTTCTTTCTGAGTTGGCAGTTCTCTTATGAGTAGCCAGTAACACCCACACTTATACAGTTGCCCAAACACATACATTATATGTGTCTGGTATCTTATGCAAAACCACCCAAGAGCCTCCAGACCACACCTAGCAGGAGCCCTGGCTCTCATGACCTGTAAGTAACAGCCACCCAAGAAAAGCTTATTGAGGAATTCTACCCATCTCTTTAGCATCACCACAAAGAAACAGAGAAACATTTCCAATCCAACAAATAAGACTTTCAAAATGCCTACTTAACATTCCCATCCACGCTTCCGACCCCACCCTCCTAGCTGCTTCAAAGGACAGAAAAACAAAGCATCCCCGAGTAGCATACATCTTTGATGTAGTTCATCTCTTCTTTGAGCTGATTGGTGGACCAGCCATACACGACCATTTCCTTCTGTTGGTTGGGATCCGATCTGCGCACCACACCGTAGACAACACCCTGAGGAAGCTTCCTCGTAGGTTCCCCATGGCTTGGTTCTGGAGGCTAGGAAAAGGCAGGAAATGAGAAAAAGAATATAAGTCTCACAAACACAGCACTAATAATGGATACCCACTTATGATTACACAGGCTGTGCCCATCCCTGGGTGCCTGGACAGCAGAAGCAAGCAGGTAAGAAGGCCAGTTTGGCATCTCCTGGTCATAATGGACCTGGCATGGGCTGGGGTTGTTCGCCCCCTGGAGAAAGCGTTGATTGCCCACTTCTTTCAAGTCCTGGTCTACCATCCTCATTGGGAAGAACCTTCATACTCCATTTTTTCCAATGGGATATCCATTTCTAATTCTCACAAAGAGGAAGTTTGTCATGAAACCCGGCACTGAGGTGACACTGTTCTGTCTTATGCCAGTTCCTCTGATGGTTTTAACTGCCTCACTAACCTCATGGTCTGAAATGTGGGAAGTTGACACTAGCTGTCGTCTGGTAGCGAAACTGTCCTATGACGGCAGAGCTGACCATGCAGCCAAGCTCTGAGGGAAAGAGGTGGGGTTGACACACGATCTGTTGTGTCCATTTATGAAGTATTTCTGGAAAGCCAAGCAGGGGTGGTGTGACTCCAGCCCCGAAGAATCTCCACACTCTGCTTAGCTGGCCTTTAATCCTGCAGTTAAATCCTGAATCATCAGTAAGCTGCAACTCAAAAGGACCCTGTCCAAATCTAACGCAGTAGGATGAATGAAGGCTTCAGGAAGCAGGAAAAGGAAAAAAACAAAGTGTTTTTTGACCACCAAGAAAATTCCTTCAAATGTGTAATGTTTACAGGCAGTCACCAATACAGAGTTCTTTCCTGTCTTCTTCATAGCTGAGGGTATTGAAGTTCAAAGGGGTTAAACAGCTGGTGTGTGGCCACACATTCACACCAGAGATAATCCTGTTGGTGCTAAGATAACTCCTCATATTGAGGGTCTTTAGATGTGGGGAGACGGGGTACGGATCTCCTCAAACATGAAAGGGACAAAGACAAGAGCAAGAAAGAAAAAACGGGGAGAGAGACAGAGTCAGAAACAGTGAAAAGGGGCAAGGGTTGGTGAAATGGCCCAACCAATAAAATTTTGTCACCAAACCCAATGACCTGAGTTTGATCCTCAGGGTCTACATGGTGGAAGGAAAGAACTAACTGCTATAAATTGTTTTCTGACCTCCACATGGGCACTGTGGTTCACTAGCTGGCATATAGGTGCTGTGCTCATGCATGCACACACACACACACACACACACACACACACAGGTGCTGGGATTAAAGGCGTGCACCATCACCGCCTGGCAAAAGAGGTAACTTTTAAAATAGAAAGAAAACAAGACCCAGGCTGAGACGTCATAGACAAGCAGCTTCTGCTGAGCTCCCCCTGGAGTTGACCCATATTCAGTCTATATCACAGAACTACACCGTCAGAACTACACCATCAGAACTACACCACAGAACTACACCATCAGAACTACACCACAGAACTACACCACAGAACTACACCACAGAACTACACCATCAGTCAACTCCCCTCCACCACCAACTTTTCTTTCTTTCTTTCTTTCTTTTCTATTTTTGAGACAGGGTCTCACTACATAGTCTTAGCTGGACTGGAACTCACTCTGTAGACCAGGTGAACTCACAGAGAACCACCTGATCCTGCCTCCATAGTGCTGGGATGAAAGGTGTACGCCACCATACTGGACTCTGTGCCAACGTTTTCAATTACCTTTTCGTAGACTTTTCCCAGATTTTCAGAAAAAATTTTTTGAAATACCAAACTTTAATTTGCATTTTACATTATTTATTGTCACAAAATAATGACTACTGAAAACACTCGAAGTTTGTAAAATAAAAAATAAAAACCAGTAAGATTTATGACAAATTGTTAATCCCTTTTGAAGGGCGAACAGTGAAACACATTAAAGATGTTGGAGAATAAAAGGGAGGCTCCCTTTTCCTTGGTTCTCTGCATTATTTGTGAGCACTTTTACCACAAGGACTTTCAAAGAACGGAGGGAACATATCCAATGCCTTCCACTATTCGGTACACACTGGGACGTGATGTAGGTGAGGATCTGGGACACTGGCGTCCGGCTTCTGGCAACAGCTTGGATATGTGATGTGCCCTAGGCACCGGATCTCACGGTGCTGCTGCTACTCTTGACTTCTGTTGTCATTCAGTGACTAAGACTGCTAAATGGCTCGTGGTGGAGCGACACGCTGACACTCAGATACCCCCAGTTTGCAAGGAGAAGGAAAAGCTCCAATGAAACTCCCCACAGACCAGGAAACACAAGCTGTTCTTCCAGCCCTGGACCCCACCCAGTTCCTGAAAAACAGGTTGTTGACGACACTGGGCTCTGATGAGACACACAGCACAGCAAGGTGCCCAGAGGACTGGTGGCCAGACAGAGGGGCTCGCCAGCTGGGAGATGAGGAAAACGCCAGGACAGGGTCAGGCCTACAACCCCAGCACTGAGGAGTCTGAGGCAGGGGGATTGCACAGTGAGTTCAGGTCTATTTGGGCTGCACAGTGAACCACTATCTCAACAAAGAGAAGGATCTGTGTGTATCGAAAGATGCCTAAGATACACTGAGTGAAAAAGAGAAAAATTTACATTCCTGTTTTTACTTTAAGATTGAGTGAAAATTTTCTATGTCGAGTGGTGGTGACATTCACCTTTAATGCCAGCACTCAGGAGACAGAGGGAGGCGGATCTCTGTGAGTTCGAGGTCAACCTGGTCTACAGGGCAAGTTCTAGGGCAGACAGGGCTACACAGAGAAATCCTGTCTCAAAAAGCAAAAAAGAAAGGAAGAAAGAAAGAAAGGAAGGAAGGAAGACAGAAAGAAAGAAAGAAAGAAAGAGAGAGAGAGAGAGAGAGAGAGAGAGAAAGAAAGAAAGAAAGAAAGAAAGAAAGAAAGAAAGAAAGAAAGAAAGAATGAATGAATCCCAACCTTTGGTGAGAATCTCCTCACTGGGAACAGAATGCCATCTTTTCCTCAGTGTCCTTTAGTGCCACGGCCTGTCGTTGTTGTTGAATCATTTTTATGTAAACTTTTTTTTTTAAAAAAAGATGATTTATTTTGGGGGTGGATACGAAGTCCCGCCCCTAGCTAGAGCTATTGGCATCTGATAACTGCTGAGAGGGCCCGTTTTCTTTAAGGGTGTGGCAGCTGGTAGGTCGGCCACACTCCAGGGGATATCTCCACACCTAAGAATATCTGGGCAGCACAAGATGGACAGGATTATTTTTTTTAAATAAAGGAGGACATGAAGTTGGGTGATAGTGAAGTGGGGGTGGGAAAAGAGGAGTTGGGGGAGGGGTGAATATAAATACAAATACATTGCATGAAAGTCTCAAAAAAGTTAATAAATATTAGTTTTAAAAGATGTTTTAGTTATCTGTATATGTGTGGATCTGTGTAGGGGTACATGTACATTTAAGCAGAGGTATGTACAGAACCTAAAAGAGGGTGCCAGATGCCCTGAAGCTAGAATTGCAGGCAGTTGTGAACCACCCTATACGGATGTTGGAAACTAAACTCAGGTCCTCTGCAAAAGCAGAACACCTTCTTAACCATTAAGCCATCGCCCCAGCCTCCCTTTATTTCAATTTTCAAAGGACACAAAAAGTAAAAATTATTAAAATGTCGTCTAAATAAAAGACCTCCAAAAAAGGGCCTGGTCACGGGGCTCTACTGAGAAGCAGGGCTGGGGGCATGATGTTCCTTAGGGGATAACGCTGGACCACTCAGGGAAAGGCTGGAAGGGCACACATGAAGAAAGACACGGAGGAAAATGTCTGCTGCACAGTGATTTTTAGGACACTAAAGGAAACTCTTATTTCCTTTAGCCCTCACATCCCTACTGTGTAAATGTTACTGGTTTATCCGGGGTGAGCACTGAGGTTCCTGCCTCTGTCTTTCTAAATGCAAACTCCTCCAACCACACTGCCTCTGAGCCAGCGAAGGATCAGCAGGGAATGGACCTCACATGACTATGTAGCATCCCAGAGTTTAAAGGGGCAGGGAAGCCGGGAGCCCAGCGCTCAAGGGCCAGAACCATTTACAAGAGGAAGGCCAGAGTTAGGGGCTCCTCTCCACTTCCCCATCCTCACCTCCATCCACCATGAGGCCCACCCTACCCTATTCTTCTACCAACTCCTTTTGCCTCATGCCATTCGCAAGGATCTTCCCTCTGCCACACTGCTAGACAGACATGTCTCTTCCTCCAGAGTGACTTCCTTAACCCTCCAGAAGTTTAGCTCCTCATGCCCATTCTCCCCATGACTGCAGTCATTCCTAGGTGATTCTGGGTGTCCTTCGGATCAGAGGCCTGCTCCCCAGGCAGCCAGGATCTAGGCCTCGTCTGTCTTCTTTCCCACACTAACTGCAGCAGCCAACAGTGACAGACACCTTGTGACGCTCAGCAAGTATTTGCTGAATGAATAGGAGCTTTAAAAGCTAGAAAGGCCTCTGGGGAATCACCTCGAACATGCGAATAGAGTCCAGCTGACGAGAACACCCTTGGTCCCTCTTAGAGCAACGAACAGACAGCAGTTCAGAGCCTTAGCCACAACATGCAACCCTGAGCAGTCCCAACAACATCATGTTTGGAAAATGCCAACATGCTTGAGGTCAAATGCTAGAGAACACAGAAGAACCTAAGAGCTAACATGTTTGCAGATGCTTAAAGGACCCAAGAGCTAACAAGTTTGCAAATGTTTAAAGGCCATTTCTTTTCTCCTCCTAAAATAGCCCTAAAACGAATATTACTTTTAAGCATGATGAAAATTATTGTGCTAATACTAAAAAGTAATGTTTACCTTTGAGAGAAGCATGCTAAAATATTTATGACATATTTATTTATTTGTGCAGGTGAAGGAAGTGGACAGGATGTAGACAAGGCAGGACTGGCCATGGGTGGAGGGCTACTGAGGCTGAGCCCAAGGCTAGCAGCTTCTTCCACATCTCAGCTTCCTCTGGTATAAGTTTCAATTGCCCCATAGTTGAAAGAG